CTCCAATTTTTTTTATGTGGAGGGTGCACACCCGGGTGTTGAGTCCGGGTATGCACACATCATTTTCCTTCTTTGTAATTATTCTTTTTCCTGGTGGTACTATGCAAGATCTGAAAATTTTGGGTTTGTTCTTCCACTTTTCTCCATCATGATCTCCTTAATCTCTCTTTTGGTCATCTTCTTTTCTGTGTTCAGATTCTTCTTTTCAGACGGCACAAATGGTTTACCTTCATCACACAATTTTTGGCCATTAGGCGATTTCTCCAGCTATCTCTCGGCAACAAAATCTAGAATGAAAACTTTGGGGGAATGGGATTGAAGAATGGATGGCAAAAGAATTTTCTTGACAACCCTACCATTAACTATAGTCTCTGGCTTTTAAAGGGATAAACCGGAAAGTTTAAGATTTTTGTTTAAAAATTAAAGTTGGGGGAAGAAGGGTGAAATTATACTTTAAAGTTTAAACATGTTTTAAATGATGTCAGGTTTGAAATAACTCATTTAATAATGTCTTAAGATTAGTTTTACATAGAGAGTTTAAGATTTTAAATTAAAAGTTTTTAATCAAATGGAGAGAAAATTGAGAAAAGAAGATGGTTATCTCATTATATATAATTTATTATTAAATGTATAAAGAATTAACTTATTTAATACTATATTTTATGAATGATGATAGAGAGGACAAAAATTTAAAAGGAAAATTTAGATCCAACGATGTAATTTATATTACATCATTAAATTAATTAATAAATATAATATTATAGGTCTAGAAAAATTAAAAAAACTAATTATTAAATAATATAGAGTTTACTTTAATAAAAAGAATCAATTATTAAATAATTAAAATCTACTTTAATAAAAAGAATTAGTTATTAAATAATATAAAATTTATTTTTTAATATTTTAAATAATATGACATAAATCATGTTATTATCCTCATATTTTGACCTTAAATTTTAATTTTATTTATCATTATTCATATTTTATACCATATTACTATCCCAAACTTTTTATCCCACATTTCCCCCCTACGAGTAGACCTACCAAGTAAGTCAGATTGGGTGGGTTCATATTAGGTTGTCTCATATTGTTGGTCTTTTGAATTAGGTCATTTCAGATATCAAGTTAAAGGGATAGACTTATGACCTATCCACACGAGTCTTGAATTGAGTTAGCTGGACTTAACTTTTAAAACATTTAAATTAAAAATAAAAATTTTCTATACTTTTCTCTATTTTTCTTTAATAAGGCATAATACTAATTAACTATTTAGTTAGAAAACTTTATTAAATACTAATTTTCATTCCAATCTCAAGAAAAGAAAAGGGAAAGATTATTAATTATATAGGTGGAACTAAAATATATATCAAATATATAATGCACATATAATATTTAGAATTTATAATTTCATTAAAAGAAGAGACACGAAGGATTAGAATTCAAAAGACAAATCCAAGATATATGTTAATATCTAATGCCTATTCAATATTTATTAGGATATTATATAAAAAATACAATTTTATTCAATATTTAGAGGGGTATTATACAAAAAAATGTAATCTTATTCCATATTAAAGTTCAAAAGGTAAATTCAAAATATGTCTAGATAAATACAAGAAGAAACTGGATTGGAATTGATTTTTATTAATTAGGAACAAATTATTAACTAAGAACAAATTAGAAACTAAGAATAAACCTTGATGTTCTTTATGTTTTTGTCTTTGTGTTTCTAATGGTGATGAGAGTACCTCAACCGTTGGATTTTGATTTTTAGTAGGTATTTTTGTTTTTTATTTTAAAAAAATTTAACAGTGTCATATGATATAATTCACTATGTGTTATCTAATATAATTTTTGATATGAGTGTCACTAAAAAAAAGGATTAGAAAACTTGTGATGAAGAAGTGGAGAGTGAGAATGGAGGAAAAGAATAGTTGAGAGGAATAGTTGAGAGAAAGTAAAACTACTAGAGGTTAATGTTGGAATATTTTATTTATTTTTATTTTTAAAATTAAAAATTAAAAATTAATTTTCAAGTAATTTAATAAAAAAAATTAAAATTTAAATAATTTCAAATGATGCGAACTCACCCGCCACCTAACTTATTTAAACTTAAATAATTTTAATTTGATACATTTTAAATTTCCAATTAATACATAACACTCGTAATCCAATTTATAACAAATGAATTGAACCAGATTTCTATATTGGATCAAATTTCGCCAAATCTACGTACGAGACACTACTCTTCTTTTTATTCAATATGAATGTGCCTCACACGCGCCGACAAATCGTGGACGAAATCAAAAGCGCGGGCCGACGCTGCACTCTCTGGATGCAGGATAATTAGAAGTTAGCCCAAACCGAGTCCCCAAACGCACGCACGTGTTAAACCCCAGTCATCGTAAAACTTTCGAGAAATGTCCGAAAACGATGCCGAATTGCACAAGTGGCCGCTCATGATTGGACCTTATCCTAAATTCCACTTACCCCGTGCGTATCTCTATCACTTCCTCGATGGGAGTTTCCCCAAAACAGAGATTTTTAAAGAAGCACAAAAGCCAAACCAACCAACCAACAACATATCCCAAACCCCAAAAGCTCTCAACGGTTTTGTGACTCTCTTCTATTCTTACCACACACAACTACAGGTCTCACAACACTGAAATTCACCCCACCCTTTTTGGAAAGGGGGTTTCTTTGTTTAATTCTTGAGGTGTTTTCTTTGTTTTGTTTTTTGCAGGAGAAGAATGGAGGGGACAGAGGAGGTTATTTCTGTTGAGCTACCAGCACCTCCTTCTTGGAAGAAATTGGTATGTTCCTTCTTCTCTCCTCTCAAGTTTTTAAATTTTTTTTTTCTTTACTCTCTCTTTTTTTTATATGTGTCTGGCTTGGCTTGCTCTGTTTTGTTGTGGGGTTTCTGTTTGGGGGGGTCTTGGTTCTTTGTAGAATTTGATATCTGGGTCTTCTTTTCTGAGAAATTTTATGTCTTTTTGCTGTTAAGTGGTTCGAGATTCGGTTAGTATGGTTTGTCTTGTGTTTTTAGAGGAAAAGTTATGACTTTGAGTGGTAGTTTTGTTGTACTATGAGGATTTTGACTTTTAGGTTGTTATAATAGTTGTTAGGGTTTTGCATTTCCGTTTATGTGTATGAAAAAAATTTTGAACTTTTTTTCTTTTTGTAGCCTAATTGTCCTTGGTAATTTGTTAATGAATCTTCTAGAACTAGAAAACAGGCAAAGAAGACAAGATTTTATCTCTAGAATTTGTATGGAAGCATTTTCGCACAAAAGAAATGGAACCTTATTTTAATTATGTTGTGTCATCTTGGGAAATTTTATGCAAGGTTTCTCTGTTAGTTTCATGAGATTACCTGCTGAAATCTGCTGCCCTGCTACAATACATACATACATACATATATATATGTGTGTGTGTGTGTGTGTGTGTTTATTTTATGGTGAAAATAGAGCAAAACTAGAGCAAATAGTTCTGTTTTTTAAAAAAATTAGCAACTTAAAACAAGGTGAAGGTGATATTTTATTTTGTGCTAGAAAAATCAGCATGAATATTTTTAAATGGCTTTAAGAGTTGGCTTCTTTTTGTTAGTCAAATTTTCAACTTTGAAATAGCTTTGTAAAACTTGGTGATATGTATGCTGTTTCAGAATGTCGTTAGTGTAGGCTGGTCTGGCTACCTATTATTGCTTACATTCATCTTTTCTGTACATGGTTATTGTGTTTGTCGTTCATGGATGGATGGATATATTACCATTATTGCCTTCTTTCTTCTTTGCTATGGCATCCAAATATTTTTCTTTTATGTGGTGCTTTTGTTCACATTCATCTTTTTCATTAGATGTGGCTGTTCTTTGAACTGGCTCCTACTTTTATCTTGTGTAGGAACCAGATAGAGATCCTGCCTTGATTAAGACAGGAACTTTAACATTTTCAGATTCTGCTGATGCAGTCCCCTGAAAATTTGTGTATTCTCCTTTCTGTTTCTAATAACTAGAGATTGTAGTGCAACTCCAAATTCCTTCTTTGGATAAAAGTGCAATTTTTTTCTTTGATATTTTTTTTGTATGCTGAGTTAGCTAGAATATTTTAGTTTCCTTCCATTTTCTGGCTACCATGTCCATTTTTCTTTTGGCTTTTTGAGGGATAGATCTGCATAGGGTTCACCATCTTATGAAATGGCTTAACTTGTTGTGAATGTTGATAGTTACTTTGGTCATTTGATATTAAAGCAGATGGAATTTTGGATAGATAATGAAAGAAATTTTAAGATGTGTTATACGCATTTGAAGGTGTCTTCGCCTGGGGGATAGAACATTCAGGAAATTTTCTTCTATGTGTTGCATCTTTGAATGGTCCTCTGCATCACTCAGATACTAATGCACATAGGAGAGATAGATGAAAAGAAATTTCAAGGTGTTTCTACACATTTGTTGGTATGATTTTCTCTTGGGACTTAGAATATTGTGGAAGCTTTCTTCTACTAGGCTGTCAAGTGATATTTTTGGCAGGTGAACAGAGTTGGTCTACATAATCTTAAAATTTTGGGAATCTATTGAGGGGGAGAGAAAATGATAAATTATTTAAAAGGATAGTTATTTTTGCTTAATAGAATTAAACAATGAGTGAATTAATGCTCTGGAATCAGAACTAGTCTGTATCTGACACTATTCAAAGGATAACAGTGACAAGATATATTCAGCTCCAGTGGTTGCTTCAGAGGCATGTTTCAGCTGTACTGGAGGAGGCTCGATCAGCTCATGCACTAAGTATATCAGTAGTTGATGATTGTCAAACGATTGTTTCAGTTAGAAGCTTAAAGTTATAGATAGGTGTTATGTTATGTAGGACTGAAGTTATTGATGGAGGGATACAGCTTAATTATGTAGGAGGTTTAGGAATTAAATTATGGTATTTAGGTTTTAGGGTAGGGTCTGCCTATTTCCACATCAGCTTTTGCTGCTTCAACACAAACGCTACTGTTCAGCAGAATATTTGTTGAACCAAAAGGGGCCACAGAAGCTCGTGTGGAAGCAGCAAAAGGTGCTGTGGAAATAGTCTTATCCTAGGCTTTACTGTTTAATTAGAGTTTTAATTTTCCTTGTGGAATTTAGGACTTTTTTTGTTTCACTTAATTTGGCTTCTAATTTGACTAAAATTAAGGTCTATAGAACTATAAATATTGTTGGTTAGGCTTCTTGACATTAAACTACAATGATTGAATGCTATACCAAGATATCTCCAAAACCTTTACCGTCCCTCCTTCTGTCTTTCATTGTCCTACCTTTTCTTTCTAATTCTTTCCAATTCTTCCCAATTTATTCTTAATGCAACTTATTTTAGGACATTTGGGGTTGGTGGCATATGGATAAAGTAAGATGTGGTGTTGTGTTTGTGTTTTTGAATTTCTTTCCCTGATATATTCTGAGATAATTCATATTTTTCTTGTTTGATTTGATTTTTCATTTATTATGCTTCTGAACCTTCAAAACTGAGACATGCTTTTGGTTTGATATGAATTGAAGCTCAATATAATATATCTTCATCCTCTGCTTTGACAGTTTTTTCCCAAGAAAGGCAGTACGCCAAGGAAGAATGAGATCGTATTCATTGCTCCATCTGGAGAGGAGATCAACAACAGAAAACAATTGGAGCAGTATCTGAAGTCACACCCTGGTAATCTGGCAATATCCGAGTTTGATTGGACAACTGGCGAGACTCCAAGGAGATCTGCGAGGATCAGTGAGAAGGCCAAGGCAACTCCAACACCAGAGAAGGAACCTCCAAAGAAGCGAAACCGGAAGTCATCTGGTTCAAAGAAGGAAAGTAAGGAAGCAGAGGCTACACCTGAAAAGGGTGAGAGTGAAAAAGATACACAAGCAACTGAAGAGGATGCAGCTGATTCTAAGGAAAATCAGGTTGAAAATGGAGGTGAGAAAAAGGAAGCTGACCAGACTGACAACACTGATGCCAAGATGGAAGCAGCTGGTCCTGAGGAAACCCCAGCTCCAAAGGAAGTTCCTGAGACAGCAACAGAGGACAAACCTGCAGTGGACTCCACGGAGAAGGTGCCACCTAGCCAAGCAGAGAAAGAGAATGGCACATGTGAGAAAATAACAGAGAACCCAGAAACTGTAATAGCTGGGGCAAATGGAGAAGCAGAGAAAAAGATTCAAGATGTGCAGGAGGATGATGGGAAATGTAATGTTCTGGCAGAGGAAAATGGTAAAGTTAACCAAAATGAGCAGACATCAGGTGCAACTGCTGTAAGCAACTGAATGCATCCCCAGGTGCATCTTCTGTCTGCTTTGTAGAGCATGTCTCTGTATTTTATTAGAGTAACTTGACATAAAAGGATGATTATAACCGTAATGTTATTGATGCTAGATTTCGTTGTATGTTGGACAATCAACCCGTATCCCCTGTAAGGGTAGATCTTTAAATACTGCTGCTTTTGTTGTATTGTGCAGGAACTTAGATTGTAGACTTTTGAAACTTATGAATCTTATGTTTAGTAACTTCAGTTGCCCAAAAGATCAAAGTGGATTGTCTTGTTACGCCATGCAAACTAACCCAACACTCCTCGTCTCGGCTAAGGTGATGTTTGCTTTGTTTATTGTGGTTAAATTACGAAGAGCATGGCGTAGGCTGCAATCTGTGCTACGACGAGCCTCATCGGCTCGATTTATTCATGAGAATCTTGACTTTGCTATCGCTTCGCATTTCCAATCAGATTTCTGGAAACTGTTGTGTTTTTCTTGAAAGTTGAAATTTAGTTGGTGATAAAATGCAACAATTACCGGCTATTAGGAGCGAAATCAGAATTTGTATGATTTATATTGAAACTCTTCATTAGTTGGAAAATTTGACAGAGTTGGGGATCAATAGCAGTAATTAAGAGGCAAGAGGCCTCATTGAGTCAATCTTAAAAGATTATGGACTTTTTATGAAATTATATTATTAAAAATATTAAAATAATTTCTTAAATAATTTTAAACGTCTTAATTTTTCCTAATATCTTCTATTATACTCTTTTTTTTTTCCTCTCCTACAAAAAACCAAGGAACCATTCTATGCCAAAATCAAAGAGGAAGGAAACGCAATCGTGCCAGAATTAAAATACTCGCCCTTACTCTGCCTTTTGTTGAGGCATTCAGGCTGCCTCCCTATAAATCCAAAGCCGGAAGCAAATCCAAAACTCATTGCCACCCCCTGCCGGCAACCACCAGGTTCAATCTCCTCCTTACCCAAGAAAGGCATATACACTTATTCAATTCAAAGACCTATACATATAGGCCCTGAGATTGTATTCTAGACTTTTGCAGGTTGTAGAGAGACTGTAGCAGCAGTACTGTTTCATAAATGTGCATAACTCAAGAAATAGAAAGTGACAAAAAGGTTTGCTTTGGGGGTAAAGTAAGAATCTTTCAGTTTCTTTCATTATAGTTTAAGGTTAAGAATCATCTTTTCCTTCTTCCTCTCCTTCTCAGTTTTTTTTCTTTGGGACATCACCTTTAAACAAAGGTTAAGAATCTTTTCTTGGGTTGAAAATGGCGTGCCTGGACAACAAGTATTGCATTCTTTTTGTCACCCCTTTTGCATTACGAAAGATTGAGACCTCCTCACTTGCTTTCTACAAATGGAAAACACTTTCTTGGATGATTTTCCCGCTTGTCATATGGGTTTCACTTCTTTTTTCCTATGGTTCCTCCTCATCTTCTCTGCATCGTCTTCTCAAGGTATGTACCTTCTCTCTTTCAGTTCCTTGCTTATTTCTAATATTTTTCTTAGAAAATGGAAAGTAATAAATTTAGAAATAGCATATGGATTGATGGAAACAAAGGATTCAATTCTTGTATGGCTGTCTTCCAGGATTGAGATTTAATGTTTTTGTCCATGTCTATTTTGAGTTCAGATGTGCATTGCTTTAGTTTATGATTTTGAATATTTCCTTGCTGGCGCCGTTTCATCTTAATAGTTGAATAATAATCTATGTTGTTTGCTAATGCGGTTGCTTTGATTTATTACATTATGAAATGCTACAAATGATTTCCCTGTTAATCCTGGTCGTTCTTAGCTAGATTGCTTGGCACTATTACAACTAATAATCATTTTTGGGTGATTGTCTTCTGAAATTGTCTGAATTGTCTGTTAGTGTCAGCATTATTGAAAATTATTGCTATTAACTTCACAGGTTGTGTAAGTTGTCTCAGAAATGTTTGCTATATTTGTTGCATTGATATCTCCATCTCTTATCTGCATTGGTATCTGCTTCCGGTGCATAGCATCTTGGAATTTTTGAGTGCTTGTGATGCTGGTTTGTCTCTCTTGAAATTCACTCTAAACAAAGGAAATTTTTGAGAAAGAAATGGTAGAAACTTTAGATTACCACCTTAGGGAGCAGAATTCATGCATTTTTTTTAGTGAAATGATTTTATATCATATGATTTGTTCTTGATGAGGTTATCGTGGTTTCGTTCTATTAATCAAGCGTTTCTATCGTTCCCCCTCAGTGCATTCATTTACAGGGACTTATGGAGTAAACTATGGGAGGATAGCAAACGATTTACTGTCTCCAGAAAGTGTGGTGACACTTCTAAAGGCCGCGAAGATAAAGAACATTAGAATCTATGATGTTGATCAAGAAGTTCTCAAGGCGTTTAATCGATCTGGTATAGAAATTATTGTTGGACTTGGCAATGAGTATCTAAAAGAAATTAGTATAGGGGAAGATCGTGCCATGAATTGGATAAAAGCAAATGTGGATCCATTCCTTCCTGGAACACGAATTCGTGGAATTGCTGTTGGAAATGAGATATTGGGTGGCACTGACATGGAGCTCTGGGAGGCTTTACTTCCCGCTGCAAACAATGTTTATCTTGCGCTCTCTAGGCTGGGTTTGTCACGCACCATTGAAGTCTCAAGTCCACATTCTGAGGCCGTATTTGCTAATTCATACCCACCATCTGCGTGCGTTTTCAGAGAAGATGTTCTTCAATTCATGAAGCCACTTTTGGATTTTTTTTGGAAGATCGGTTCTCCTTTTTACATAAATGCGTATCCATTTCTTGCTTACAAGAATGATCCCGGGCATATTGACATTAACTATGCTCTTTTCAAGAAAAGTCCTGGAATTTATGATGCCAAGACTAAGCTACACTATGATAACATGTTTGAGGCTATGGTTGATGCAGCTTATGCTGCTCTGGAAAAGGTTGGATATGATAAGATGGAAGTCATAGTTTCTGAAACTGGTTGGGCATCTAAGGGTGATCAAGATGAAGCAGGTGCGACGGTGAAGAATGCAAGGACTTACAATTATAATTTGCGTAAACGGCTACTAAAAAAGAAGGGAACCCCATATAGGCCAAAGATTCCTGTGAAGGCTTATGTTTTTGCATTGTTCAATGAAAATTTGAAGCCTGGACCAACATCTGAGAGAAACTTTGGATTGTTTAAACCTGACGGAAGCATCTCTTATAATATTGGATTCACTGGACTCGTACCTTCAGCCGCAGCCCCCTCACAGCTTTCTTTTAAGGTATGATTGTCCTAACTGCTAATTTAACATTTGTTGCCCAAGTTTTTTTCTTTCATCCTTCTGACATATTTGAGCTTCATCTTACAGGATATTGCAACTCACGGATGGTTTAGATCGTCATATTTGTCAGCCTTAATGACTTGTGCGCTGCTTTTGCTTCATATTCTATTGATGTAATTGTGGACTAAAGGTTGAGCGTGCTCTCTCCCGTGTTGGATTTCATCATTAACCAACTCTAAGAAACACTTTAGTTTCTTAGGCCCGCACACATTGTTGTAACCTTTTAACTGATAAAAACCGCATTGAATTTTCATTCTTTGTACTAACAGCTGTTCTTTGAATGATAATGAAGTTCCTTAAAACATCTCCAAGATTGCTCCATGATGTAGTAAATTTAATCTTTATGAGAAAAAGGAACATTTACGATACATTTTTGCCTTTCTGGAAATCTTATTATCATGAATGTTTCCGTGTGGATCCTGTTGGATGTTCCAGATATCCTTGTTGCTCTTTTGGTGGAAACATATCTAACCTTGCCAAGAAACAGAGGCCCTTAGGAATGGATATTGCATGATAGGAGAACATGAATTGCGCTTTGGCAACGGTCCTTTAAGCAATCTTTGGACTCAAAGTAATATCCATTTCTTAGGTTAAAATTCAATTGAAAATTTCAAAATAACATTACATTTTTCTTTAAGGGCAGTATTGATGTGGGAACAGAGAAGATTCCATTGCCCTATGACTATGCCCAAAAGAGTCTCTTTAATGTGAAATGCTGGAGTCTATATGCCATAAGAAGGAAAATCAGCGCCTGTTGTTGGAAAAAAATACGGAATAATTCAATTCTTTGACTTTGACCTGCTCTAAAAAGTCCATATATATTTTGAGGCAAAAAAAATTCCTTCTAAAAATATTGATTTAATCTTTTTTTTTAATGGAATGAATTTATTTTTCTTTTTTCTTACAAAAGACAATAATTTATTGGTAATAACTTTACTTTTAAAAGTAAAAATTTTAAATTCAAATCTTCATAACATTTAAAATGAATTAAAAATTAAGTTAAATAATTTAATTTATTTCTATAATCCAAGTAAAAAATAAAAATCCTTTCTAATTAAGTCTCTATTTTTGTAACTGATGGTAAGTCCTCCTAATTGATTATTCCAAAAGAAAAGGACAACGATAAGTACAAGTCAATCTTGTTGAATTATATAAAGTTTTGCATGGCTTAAATCTCAATACTATTGAACTTTTCCAATTGAGGACCAGCCAGCCCTTTCTTCATTTACGACCAAAGAAAGACCGGCGTCCAATCCAACCTTACCGTCAACGTCGGTACCCTCCTGTACCCTTTCCCTCTTCCTTGTCAAAGGCCGCGTCCCTGCTATTACTCCATGACTACTGTATATATTTACCCCAATAGACCCTGGCCTTCACATTTCTCATAACTCAATTGCAGTCTCAAATACAGGCTTAATTAGTCACATTGAGAGAAAAATGGCAAGGTTGACCATGGGAATGGCTTTTGTTGCTATTGTTGCTGCTGTGGTTTTGGTGCAATCCGCGGCGGCTCAGACTGTTCATGTGGTGGGAGATTCCATTGGATGGACAGTTCCGAGTAATGGGGCACAGGCATATACCAACTGGGCAGCTCAAAGGACGTTCGTAGTTGGGGATACCTTGAGTAAGAATCATATATATTTCCCATCAACATACTGCTCACCGGTTCTTAGAGGATGTTGGGTTAATTTATAAGAGTTTTTATTTTTTTATATTATTTATAGGTGATAAGTTTAAATTTTTATTGAAAAAAAATTTAAAAGTTATTTTTAGAAATAAAAAAATAAGTAAAAAATAAATAAAAAGAGAATTTATGAAAATTTTAGATTTGAAACTTTTAAATTTTTACTATTTGAGATTTTTTTAAAGTTAAAAAAAATTTAAACTTATGAAATATAAATAGTATTAAAAAATTGAAACACTTATAAGTTAAACCAAATATGTTCTTAGTTTATAGTGGTTTGTACCTTTTAATATTATAATTTAATTAATTAAATTCTTTTTCTTCTCTTTTCTTATTTTACTCACATTAAAACACATTATTAAAATATTAAGAAATGAAATTATTTAAATATTTTAAATAATTTTTTTAGTGTATTAATTTATTAATAATATTAATTTTTTTTTATTATTTCTAATATTTTAATTATATACAGTCTTATATTTTCATTGACCATTTGTTCTGTGCTTGAAATTCCTGTAGTGTTCAATTTCCAGACAAATCAGCACGATGTGTTGCAAGTCCCAAAGGCATCATTCGACGCATGTAGTTCATCGAACCCCATTGGAAACATGTTCACCACCGGTCCGGCCAACATAACCCTTGACTCTGCCGGCGAACACTACTACATTTGCACGATTGGTCAGCACTGTCAAGGCGGGCAGAAACTAGCCATTACCGTCTCAACTTCTTCCTCCGGTTCTCCCACGCCTGCACCACCTACCAACATGACCCCTCCCACCACCCCTTCTCCATCTTCGGGCACACCTGCCGATTGTGCTCCGGCTCCAGCAACAGGTCGTACTCCTCCAGGATCAACAACTCCAACTTCCCCTGACTCCAATCGCGATTCTGTTCTGCCTTCTTCAACTTCAGCTATTTTTGTCAGTTTGTGGCTGTCCATTTTAGGCATTGCAATGGGTTTTGTTTTCTAATCAGAGATTAATTAAATATAGGATTGGATTTTATGGTGTTTTTGGGTATTCATCAAATAAAGTCATTGTAGTAAAACCCATATTTTTTTACTTTGTAATTTCTTTTAATTCGAATTTGTATTTTGTACTACTGTATGAGCAATAAAATTAATTAGTGAATTTGGTTAGTTTGGTGCTTGCAAGTGCCTAAAAATCAGAATTTTAGTAGATAATTTCTTGGTTAATTTCGAGCAATATTTAGTGTCAGATGATAATTAATATTGGTAGAAAAATTAAATACTCCAATTTCATTTTTCACCTTCACCATTAAATCCTTTATTCCAAGTAAATGATAAGTTATACTTCAACAATAATTCTTCTATTTTCTTAATTTCTTCCCACATCTCTCAATTTTTTAAAGTCAAAATTTTTAATTTCTAATTTAGAATTTTAAACTCTTAAATACTTAAAATATCTCCTTAAAAGCAACTTCTAACTTAGTCATCAAACAACATTTAGTACAAAAGTTTTTTACCATGAATTAGTAAGGAAACTATTATTGCACCTATTTTGCTTGTGTCTTAAATTCGAATCATGATCTCATGACAGTTATGTTTAGTTTAGAAGTGAAAAAATGATGGCAGGATTAACACGTTTCATGTAACTCAGTTAAAAAACAAAAAATGATGCATTCTAGCTTATTGGAACTTCAGTTAATACTTTTTAAGTCCAACAATTCATTCATTTTCTTTTGTATATACAATCACATGTTCTCACTTCTCATAGCAAATTTCCTCGTTTTATATCCTGTGAAACTCTAGTGGGTTCATAAAAGGGCCCAATTTGTCTCGTAAAGTCCAGTAATCAAGCCCATCTTTATGTATTTTCAGCAAGTTTTGATTCATTAGTAAAAAAGACAACATAACAAACAACTTTATTAAAAGGTCCCAAAGATTTGAATCTCTCAATTGAGGACAAAAACGTTCCACATGACCTCCCTCTTTTTCTTCTTTTCTTAAACACGTTTATTTATAAGTAATAATGCATGGAACGTGTGTACTTAATTCACTCGTAAACTTTTCAAGTGCACTGTCGACGAAGCCTTTTTATTGAAAAGAAAAAAGGAACACCATGGTGCGGTGGCTCATCTGAATGCCGGATGCACTTTTTCGTAATTGCATGTGCTTTGACTTTTTGAAAATGTCTTTGGTAATGGTATCACGAGGAGATATATATTTTGGAGTGCTTGGTCTGTAAAGAATTTAATCCACCCATTTATCAGACATGGACTTGGAAACAAAAAAAAAAATCTTTTTCCACTGGTCAATTATGTCATAATATACAAATTCCTAACTCAACGGAATATGTATCAAGATAGAAAAAAAAAATCAATTCTCCTTAAAAATATGAATAAAGAAACAGTAATTTAGAACTAAATTTTAATAAAAAATGAGTCTCATATTTTGTGTTTTTAAATTATACCAAACCACAAAACAAAAACTTTTGAATGGAAAAATGATTTCTAAAATTGAAAATTAATCTCTTATTTAAGGATTCATATTTCATAATTTGATATAATTTAGATTATAAAATAATTTTTGTAAAAAATCCTATAGATTTTGTGGTATGGAGAAGTAATAACAGATAATAGAGATTCATTAAAAAAGAAGAAGAGAGATAATAGAGAAAGAAAATTGACGGTCCACATCAATTTAGTGGAGTACCCAATACGCAGATCTTTCATGTAGAATATGATGTCCATATTAATTATGTGGTGTTTACAGCTCAACTAATTTCTACCTCGCTTAGAGGTCCTTGTGGCCTAAGTAATCATTTAATATGTTGTAAAGAATTATTTTATTTTATGGTATAGAATTCACTTTTTTTTATTTTTGGTTTCTCACCCGGTATCCGGGGTATTGCTCCGACTAATCTGGACCCAACTCGCATTGCACACCTGAAAATGGTGGATGAATCTTCCAATGAGAACTGTTGCGTACACAAAATCTCAAATTCGAGACCTTGTTTATGTTGCGTACACAAAATCTTAAATTCAAGACCTTGTTTAAGTTAAAACAAACCGTTTATCACTTGATCAAATTTCTCGTTGGTGGTATAGAATTTACATTGCACCCGTGTTACTTGTGATTTCCTTCCCTTAGTTTTTCATGTTAAAAAAAAAAAAAAAAAAAGGGGCCAATTTCTACATCGTCTTTTTTTGAATTTTATAAATGGAACTATCTCTTC